TTCCAACATCACCTTCTTTAATAATTAAACTACCATCTTTATGTTCAAGTGGATACATACAATCAACAATTGACATTATTTGATCCATTTCAAGATTTTTCATAAAATCATTATTTAATATTGCATCACATAAAAATTCTTTTGTCCTATTTGATTCACAAAAAAGAAACAAAATTAATAGTATTATTTGTGAATATATATTTCATGAGGGAGGTTTCTCAATGTACTCATAGCTTTAGATTCTGTACTATGTACATCATGTAGATCCTAATGAGTTTTGAATATTCTGAAAAGAATTCGAACTTTAAGCTTATTGTTGGACCCTCGCAGAAAAATTGATTTTCAAATTTCGACTTGAAGTTCTATACAGATACTGGTCTTAACGAGATGAGGTTATTGTGAAAATTTCAAGTCTTTTGATTTGCTCCTATCCTGAAATAAGAACATCAGATCTACCGATGTATACACGAGTAATGTAAACGATCAGGGTTTGTCTTAGCCATATCTTAGGATGGGAACAATGCAAATATCTAAACTTTTCATAGTAAACTGTTATAGGTAGGTCCTGCTAATATGAAAAGTTTCAAGTCGAAATTTGAAACTGAATTTTTCTAGCGTTCCTGCAGAGGACGACAGCATTATGCAAAAAACTGCCGTCAATATGTAGTATGTCAGCAGCAATAAGCTAAGAGTCTGAACTGTTTCCAAGATATTCGCAGCTCATTAGGGTCTCCATGATGCACATAATCTCGGCTCAAAAACGATTAATCATTTGAGGGACTTCCCGCGTCAGATAGAAATTATATGACTATTAACGGGTGCCCCACAAAATATGAATCCTGTCAATGTTTTGTATATTTCTCAGCAGCCTTTCAACATAATGGAACGATGTTTTTTTTTCTTATGGATTCTTTGTTCGATTCTCTATAAATTTGCATATTTCACTTAAACCGAACTACGTACCTCATTTGCCTAGACCTAATGAAACGAATAAATTCAAAATATGACGTGTTTCAAAAGTTTTCTTTTATTAGACGTTATATTAATCATACAAGACTTCAAGCAATTATTAATATAAAACTAATATTCACGCCAGAATTAAAGACGACTAGGTATAAGCTCAGTAACTCAACAACGGTAACAGTTAGCGATCTGCGGCATTCTCAGAAACCCAAAGAGGAGAACTCCGAATGCTTTCTTTGTCTGACACTATATAAGACAAAATTATTTTAAAACTCATCAGTTCAATGACAACGATGTTTCATGTCAATGAAATTCTGATAAAGTTTACCAAAAAAATCAAAAGAAAACAAGAAGATAACCACTTAAATTGTGCTTTAAACTACAGATTTAAAGTCTCCTCTATTAGAAATACATGTCGAAATTTAAATTACATCGAAATGGAATACTATTTTCATGAATTCTTTTCAAAGATAATGAGTTTTAAAATAATTTTGTCTTATATAATATTAGATAGAAATACGTATGAAGGTTTCTTCTTTCGATTGCTGAAAACTACAGATCGCCAACTGTTGCTGTTGTCGAGTTATTAAGATTACACCCACCTCTTTTTAGTTCTGGCACGAAGATTAGCTCTAATGAAGTCTTGATAAGAATCAAAGACTTAACTATTATTATTAATCAATAAGAAAAGGACGTTGAGTTTTTTTGTTTTGAAAAACAAACTATAGAAGTATTTCTCCTAGATAAAGAAGATGATTAATATTTTTTCTTGAATAAACAGTAATAGTTAAGTCTTCAATTCTTACAAAAACTTGATTCGAGCTAATTTCGGACTGACAATTGATTGAAGTCTTGAATGTGAATAAAATAAAGGCTAAAAAAAGAAGTTTTTTTATTGAAAGTGTCGTACCCTGAATCTATTTGTTTTATTGGGACTAAAAAAAAAAAGTAAGATATGCTACGTCATTCGAGTAAAAAAATGCAAATTTATAGAGAATCAAATGAATAATCTATCGAAAAAAAAATTGTGTTATTATGTTGATATGCAAAATAGTAAGAAGGTTCATTTTTTACGGGCCATCGATTACAATCATTTGTATGCATAAGATAAATGTATATTTTTATTACTTATTTTTATATTCATTTAATACAATACGATATTATATTATATTATGCTTATTTATTTATTTATTAACAGACAATTCTAAGAAATGAAATTTGTCATGTTCATTATAACTAAGAAAACATAGTCAATAAAAGATTGACCTTGAAGATCATTTATACATCGAAGTTTTTCTGTTTACAATAAATGTCACCGAATGTCATCAGTAAATATCGGCCTAAACGACTATCGTGTCCCTTGTTTTTTTTTTCGACTAGATATTTAATTATTTTTAACAGATTCGAATTTTTTTTATACTTACCATTATTATATGTAGTGAAATATTTTCAAATGAATATTTATTTATAATTCTATTTTAATTGATTTCTGAATATACTAAGTTTTTCTCTTTTTTCTATATAAAAAAAACAAAATTATAAGTAGATTACATTCTTAAGGCGATTGGAAAACATCTGGAAATAGTTTATTTGTTCGCATACACATAAAATCTTTAGTAATGAACAAGTTATATATTTGAATGATATTTGTAAATTTTTTTTTTTTTTTTCTTCATAGTAAAAGCTTCGTGTCTGTTGATCCTTATTAGCATGAAACTATTTGACTATTCAATTGCATCAAACGACTGCAGCTCTTCAATAACAACAACAACAAACATTACTAACTTATTCCCGTATATCAACCTCCGCATTTGTCTATATGTTCCTTATGGAAAAAATTAGCTATGTTAGATTATACGTTTGACATTCAATAAAAATGATATTTTCACTTGTATTATCTAATATAAAAGATTAGTTCTCTTGAGTATTCTAATCGTTAAATGTATTCATAAAAAAAAAGAAACCAATGCACTATTAGTGGCCTTGTCGAATAACTATAATAATCTATTCTTAGTGTAGATCGATATTTCCAGATGAGGACCTTTGTCCTTTATCTTCTTCTTTTTTTTTTTTGTCGATGATCGATCTCAGTGACGTAGATTTGTCAAAGTCAAGGTTATAGATCTACTATCTTACCGATCGGATTTATCAAATGCTTGAAGAACAACACGTAAATCTTTGGATTTTTTATGTTGAGCTGGTTCAGCACTAATAGCTGTACGTTTTATACGTTGTTGTTTTGTTGGCGATGGTAAATCAAGATTTGATGTACGTGGTGATGTACTTATTCCCATACCATTATTTAAACCAGTTGTTATAACAAATGTTGAATCATATTTGGATATTTCTTGTTCAAGTTTTGTTATATAACTATCTTTTTCTTTAATAATTGATTCTTTCATTGATATAACTTCATCTTTTTTGTGTAGTTGATTTTGATAATCAGTACGTAATTTATTAATTGTATTTTCAGCATCTTCAAGTTTTTTAGCGCCCTCACGCAGCGCCAGCCGCAAATCATGCATCGATTGGGTCATCGATTTGTAATAATAGTCGACATATGCAAGAGATCAATTATGTAAAAAAAAAAAAAAGAAAAAAGAAAAACGAGTTTTGTTCTACTCGATTTTATTTGTCTTGATGAGATCGCGAAATCTTTGTGATGCTACTGTTATTGCTGCTGCTGTTGTTGTTGTCGCCGCGTCGTCTTGCTTCTTCATATCAACACATTGACTTACGTCATCAAACGAACGAATGGTGACGATGAGAGACAAGAAAAGAAGGAGAAGAAGAAAAAAAAAAGAAAAAAAGTCTTATACTCTCTTGTGTCTATGTACAAAGCACCGCATCGACGTCATCGGAACATCATCATCATTATCGTACATTAACTAATTTATGCTTCCGCATATTTTTTTTTCCTTTTTTTCTATTCTGCTTTACTTCTGTGTCTTCATTTATATGTATACGGTTATGTTAGATGGATGAAAAATACTCGTATTTCCTTAATTCTTGGTATCCTGTTTGCCGGAAGTTTCCGCTTTTCTTTGGCTTTTTTCTTTATCCATACATATGGACAAGGAAAAAAAAATAGAGATGCTAGATATATTTATATGTATGTTGCTGTTGATGCTGGAGGGCAAACAGAGCAAAACTAGTTTCTTTTGGGCATTCTTTTGTCGTTTTCTTTTTCTTCTTTTATTTTTGACATCTACTTATATGATTGTGCGCCCTTTCAAATATCCATCAAGTCAATCTTTCCTGCTGCATAAAGAAATTGTCGAAATTAGAAACCTCTATTAACCAGTAATATCAAGATATATGCTTTATGTGCATCATAACTTCTCTCCTTTTTTTTGTTGTATATTTTTATATCAATTTCTTATTTAATTCTATTGTTATTCTAAACTTAGATTATGTCTAAACATAAGCACATCCGTATTTTGTATCAATTGAGATCACAACACTCGTTGCTCTTTTTCTTTCTAATTGTATCTATCCTGGTGGATGCAAATAGCAATTGACAAGCGACTGGTGGTAGTTACACATATATATATATATATATTTTTTTTTTTGTTTTTTTTGATAGATGAGTCGTTTTGTATGTACCACCCGTTGTCTTCAAGTCCAGCAATGTCTCTTGCAAGATATTTCATCTATAGGAAGATGAATGAAAGACTATAACGATGACAAGAAGAACGAGTAACATTGCAATGAGACTAATTGAAGACGAACATCTTAAGAAAAGAAGAAGAAAATAGATAGAAACATTTTGAAGAGGCGGAGAACGCTTATACTTTGTCAATTGATTTGGCGAGCATATTCAATCGACACAATAAGCTCTATACATATATATATATATACATACAACCGTTTAATACCAGTGTCTGTTTCTATTATGTATGTATATATATATATATATATGAAAATCACTTTCTCATTGATAGTTATGTATGAAATGAAATATTTGGATGTCATTCTCTTTCTTTTTTCTTTTTTTTTTACTGTATTATAAACATGTACTGCTTTACCAGCTCTACTTACCAATTGGACTTTTCCCATATAATTAGTGTACAGAGTGTTGATGGAGGTGCTGAAACACCAAATCGATGTTGCTCATTATCTGTATGACAATATTTATTGAAAGATTGATAGACTGGAAATATACTTTGATATTTATCTAATTGTGAACGTAATTCATTTATTTCATATTTATTATTATTAATAATTATTTCTAAATCATGAATACGTTCATCACGTTCATCTAATTCTGTTTGATGTTGATACCATAGTCGAGTTAATATTCTAGAGAAATATTGTATTATTGAATTCATATTGAGAAGAATTGTTACTTATTGGATATTGTTGTCGATAAACAACCCATTTTTATACGAAGAAAATGGATATCAATAAAAAAGAACAAATAGATTTTCAATATGTTGTCTCAATATAGTAACAATTATGACCTTTATTTAGCAATGTACCCAAATATCTGGATTTATTCTCTTGGAAATAATTTCATCGAACTAATTGATAGAAGAATTAGAAAAAAAAAAAAAGTCAAAGCTTTATTGTTATTGTTGTTATAATTATTTTTCCACAATATTCACTTTGTTTATTTTAATATAATAAATACATTTATATTATTAAAATAATAATATTATAGAATTTCTATCAATGTTATTTAATAGTTAAATAATATGCAAATTTTCTCATTCATAGATAAATAAGATTATATTTTAGTTAGTTTAGTTCTATGATATAATTATTTCCGAGGAGAAGAAAAAACAACGAATTTTAACTCATTTGGAGATCAATTTGGCCAGTCATTATTTGATGAAAACAACACATAATTACTTTATTTCTTTTGACAAATACCTCTAAATAATAATCTTGTAGCTTAAAAAAGGAATTTATTATTATAACAAATGTTATTTTGTTTTGTAGCTTATACTTGAGGCATCAGAAACGATTATTAAAAAAAACAATAATTATACATATGTTGTTCATTCATATAATTTTCACATATAAGAAAACGATTGGAAGATTTCTTTTTTTTTTTTTTTGTTTTGTTTTAAAGATAATAAATATAGAATAACTAAATATATTCTTCCTATGATATAAATCTTGAATAAATTATAAACTATGAAGACCAGATCTCTATTTGTATACGAAGCTATATAAAATGGTACAAACTGACATGGCAATCAATCATTATTATCCGAATGATGAATTTCAAGATGCACGAAAGCAAATGATAACCCTGAAATGATTGATTAACTTCGATGTTCTTTGACACAAGAATAAGTGGTTTTTAGTGGTTAGAAAAAAGAAAATATCTATTCAGATAATTTTTTTATCTTACTTACTTGATAAATTCAGACAGACACATTCTTGAAAATATTTATAGATTTTTTTTTTTCTTGAATAAGTACTTCTAAGAACAGGTCATGATGTACACCATTATACTAGTACAAAGATATCATTCATGGTTAATCAATTAACAGAAAAAAATGAAAAATAAAATGTATACAAATTTATTAATCCGAAAGTCACAATATGAATTTATATAACGTCATTTGTAAAACATAATCAATATAATATCTCAACGGAAATTCTTCATAATTATTATCCGTACATTAAAAAGAAGAAGGTAATAATATTATTTTTTTTTAATGAAAGTACAAGAATATATAAGGATCATCCTTAGTTTGCTTTCATTCATAGTTTATCCCATGCGAAATTTTTGTGAGAAATAATTTAATAGGAAATTAGAGCTATTTCTCAAGGATCCATCTGCATTTTTGCCAAAATTATTGCTATTTACATTTGTACCATAAATGCATGATTTGTATAAATTCTCCCACACAAAAACATTTCAAACTGAAAATTATGTCAATCAACTATCCGTCATATAACCTATGTCTGGTAAAAATCTTAGCTCGAACCGTTGAAGTGTTGTTGATTAATGACGTAAATATTGTTCTAAATGAGTATGAAAATTATATACGAAAGATTAGTAAATATAAAATTGCTACGAAAAATATTGTTAGATTTTTATCCAAAAACAATTAAATTTATTCCAGCTTCGTCACGAATAAAAATTCAGTATAAAAAAAAGAAAAACTCTGTTTTTACATATACAATGTATAATATGAGAAAAAACAAGTTAATCGATGGATAATCATAATTCGACGTATAATTATCCATCGATTAACTTGTTTTTTTTTCCTCATAGTAGACACATTATATGTATATAAATAGAATTTTTCTATTTGTACTGAATTGTTATTTGTCACGATGGTCGAAAGCTTGAATAAATTTGATTTTTTGAATAAAAATCTAAGAATGTTTTTCGTAGTAGTTTTTTACTCATTAATCTCTTGTTTACATTCTACTACTTTCATTATGAAAATCATATAGTTATGTTACCATTTCTGTTTACTGTTTTCTTAAGGAAGAAAAAAAACCACTTGGGTTTTTAATAGATTCGAACAGTTCGTAAGAGGGACGACCAAAACAGATACTCTTCGATGTTTTTAGAAGTGATCTTTGTTAAAAAAAAAAACAAGTCGACGAACTTTTTTTCTGCAAAAAATTCAACTGGATTCCCCTCTAAGTGCTAAGTCAAAAAATGAATTTAATTATAAAATCATTTGATCAATGGAAGACAAGTTCTTAGTCTGTAAAACGTCATTAAGAGAAGAAAAGAAGAAATAATTAACCAATAAAAACAATGTTTTCATTAAAATGATTCTGTGAGTAGGACGTTAGCTGAATTCTTTCGAGAAAAAAAAGCTCATCGAAACACATATAAGTCGACTCACAAGGGAAGGTTCCCAAGTATGACTCATCAATTGAACTAGTATCTTACTTATAAGTAGACTTCGACGAGACTATTAGAAGCCTATAATAGGTCGTTTTCGAATTATAATAATTTTACTGAATTTTTTATCTATGACAAGATATTTGTGAAAAAATCTGGAATTTTCCCCATACGTAGGTCTCGTAGACTATAAATTTCATTGAAAATTTCAGCCCGAATTAATGTATTGCTCTTGAGATATTGAATATCCAAAAACAATCATTTGTCACAAGAAAAGGTAAGTAAACCTAGTCTTTTCAATAAGAGCAACACATCTTTTTGTGCTGAAATTCCATGCTTCGATTTTTTTTCACAAATACCTTGCTAGATATTTTAAAATATTCAATAAAAATGTAATAACTTTGGAAAGACATCGCAAGGAGACAAACCACTATAGGTTTCTACTAGCTTCGTCAGGATCTACTTATGGACAAATTATTAGTTCGATTGGCGAAACACACTTCGAGCCCATTGAGTCGAACAATTTTTGAGTTCGCACCTAGCCAGTTAAATTTTTTTGAAATCATACATTTATGGTACAAACGTGAATATCCATAATTTTAGCAAAAATAAGTTTGAATCCTTCAAAAATTGCTCAATATTATTATTAAACGATTCCTTAATGAATTCTGTAATAGATAAACTATGAATGGAAGAAAATTGAAAATGATTCTTATGTATCTATATTTTTCATTTTAAATCTTTTTATTAAATAATATAAAATCAAAAATGAATACATTCAGTTTGAATTAATTTGTTTTATTTTATTTTTTTGTTTATCGACAACCACATTCTTCAACTTGCATTCCTTGATGTCGTTTAATAACTAATTCTTGTCGATCATAATAAAGTAAATCAAGTGGTCGAAGACGAACAGGTACACAAGATGGTTGTTGAATAGAATTTCCTTGTTCATGTAAAAGACTTAATAACATAGCATGATTTGTTGGATAAAATAATCTTGATAATGGATTTGGACAATCACCACGACATATACCAGCATTAAATCGTTTTGGTTCAATAATCCATGTACCAAATGATAATTGATTGAAATCAACAAATAGATCATAACGTGAACATGAATTTTGAATTTGTTTTTGTTTAATTGATCGTTTTATTCGAGTTGTTGATGATGGAAGAAGAAAACTACCAGGTATACGAGAATAAATAATAAGTGATGCTTCTTGAATATATTTTCTTAACCATAATTGTCGACGAATAATTAATATTTGTCGTGTTGAATTATGATATAAATAATTTGTTAAATCATATGAAATGAATTCATTTTGTTCTTGTGAAATTATTATTGGATGAAATCGTTGTTTGCTATGCAAGTTTTTACGAATAATTAATATTAATTTTTTTCGATGAATATTTATATTATTATTATTATTATTATTAGATTTGAATTTTAAACGAAATTCAATTAATTTAATTTCTTCATTTCTTTGTATTCTATTTAAGGTAATATTAAAAATTAATAAAAATTTATTAATTGAAATATATTTTAATGATAATAATCGAATAGTATTAATTGTTTTAAGTTTTATTTGTGCTTGTTCATTAAGTAATAATCCATCAACTAATGAACCTTTTTCATTTATCTTTTTATATAAATCAATAATTGATTCTGTTTGAGTAGAAAATGCTTTTAATTGAATAAATTCTTGTAATAATAAAATAATTATTAGAGTGAATATGAAATGCATGATTCTTTTTTCTTTTTTATTTCTCTCATTAAATTTATTATTTTCCTTGACTATTTATATTACGTTAGAATAAGACCACCCCATATGAACAAAAATCAATCGATTGATAACATGTATATACACAACGACCACCTCGATTAGATGTATATAGATAAGATGTAAATAATCAATCATTTCTCTATTGAAAAATACATCGAGGTGGTCTATTTGAAAAGTATACTGACGCATTATGACTGTTGTAAAAAAATCACTAAAATGTTTTATTGAGAATAAAATGTTGAAGAATAAAACAAAAACAAAAAGAATCCGTCCGAATGTCGGTGATAAGTGTTGAATTGGTATAAGTTCGTCTTGATTGGTGTAGATTTCATGACTAAAAGAAGATAGAAAATAATTTAATAATGATTTAGAATATAGAATAGAAAAGCATTAATAATTCATCGAAACTGGCAATGGCGCATCAATAATGTAGAATTTTAAAGATAATACAAAATGAATTTTGGAAGTTTTTTATTTTTGCTTACGAAGGAACTTCTTCAAATATCTCGTTACGATTTCAATGAAAGGATTTGACTTTCTATTGAGATTCGACTAAACTATCGAATTTTTAATATATCTATTTTCTAGAGTCTCCAGGTTTTTTGGAAAACTCGTATTCTCGAATTTTGATTTGAAACTTTGCGAATATAGAGAACTCAACTAGAATAGTTTTCGTAAAAACAATTTACAAATTTTCAATAAAATCTCTTCGAGATATGAAGTTTTCAAAACAAAGTATATGGTGTATAGACTATTCATGCGAAAACGTCT